GGAGGACATGGGCTACCTGCGCCTCATGTATGAGCAGCTGCTGCAGCAGACGAGCGGGGCCGACTGGCTGAACGACACCCACTGGGTCCACCACACTGATATCCTGAGCGGGGCGGCCTTCCCAGGGCCAGAGGAGAGGCTGGGAGCGGGGCGGCCTTCCCAGGGCCGGAGAGGCCTGGAGCGGGGCGGGCTTTTCCGAGGGCACTCGGGGGCAGTGTTCCCTTCAGATGCCTTCTAGTGTCTGCGCTCCTCTTCCTCCCTGTCCACTTCTTTTCGCCACCGACCTTCGGCCTGGGTCCTCCTCCTCTGGCTACCTGGGTGTTTTCTCTCTGCCTCCTGCCTCTTGTCTGCCTCCCAGAATTTTTCTGGCAGAAAAGGTGGCCTAAGACTTATTTCTCTCATCTTTCTATCCTCATACCAAGTATGCTCGGGGCTCCAACCAAGGTCAGTTACCCTCTCCTTGGGCTGGGACTGGAGGGACAGGGGAGTGGGGCCCCAGGGATCTGGCCAGTGCGGAGCCCATTCTCTTCCTTAACACACCCCGCACTCACCAACCTGAGCACCCCCAGACGCAAGCGGCGGCCCCAGGACGGGCCCCGGGAGCACCAGACGGGCTCGGCCCGCAGCGAAGGCTACTACCCCATCAGCAAGAAGGAGAAGGACAGGTACCGGGACGTGTGCCCTGTCTCAGCCCGGCAGCTGGAAGGGGCGGACACTCAGGTGAGCCCTGCCCTGGCACATGGCCCTCCGGCACCCTCTTCCCGTTGCTGCTCCCGGCACTTACCTCCTCCTCCGTCCGGCCCTCGCAGGGGACTAACCGTGTGCTTTCCGAGCGCCGGTCTGAGCAGCGGCGGCTGCTGAGTGCCATTGGCACCTCCGCCATCATGGACAGTGACCTGCTGAAGCTAAACCAGCTCAAGGTGAGGGGCAGGGGCTCCAGCAGGAGAGAGACTCAGTGGAAGGGCAGCATCCTGGGGTCCCCTCGGGTGCGGAGGGGTGAGTGGCTAGAGCACCCTCCCTGCCTGGAGAGCTGCAGGGAAGCCAGGGGACAGGTGGAGGGGGCACCCAGCAGCCGTCTGCCTTCTGCCCTCTAGTTCCGAAAGAAGAAGCTCCGATTCGGCCGGAGCCGCATCCATGAGTGGGGTCTGTTTGCCATGGAGCCCATCGCAGCTGATGAGATGGTCATTGAGTATGTGGGTCAGAACATCCGCCAGGTGAGGAGCCCCCCACCCAGCTCCCAGCCCACCGGCACCCTGGGATGCTGACATGAGACCCAGCCAACTCTCTGGACAAAGCCCCACGTACCCTCCTGCCCAAGGCTTAGCCATTGACACCACTTCCTCCCTCCCTCCCTCCCTCCCGTTCTAGTAATGGGCACTAGTAAAGCAGTAAACTAGATGTTAATGATGCAGCAAGAGCCAAGGCTAATAGTATCTCTCCCTTTAAGGACCTCAGTTTAGTGGGGAAGACAGGCATTGAACAAGTAACTCCAATAAAAGATGGTGTTTGCTTGTTACAAAAGGGGAAGTTCGGAGGGACTGGGTGGTTGGAACACAGTGATGTTTACACCGGGAGCCTAAAGGATGTTGAACTCCCCGGGCGCAGGTGAGGGAGGCACAGGAGGGCGCTGTGGCTGATGGGAGAAGCTTGGGTCGGGCAGGGACCTACAGCAGGAGGGCAGGGAGGCCAGGCTCCCAGAAGTTAGGAGCCACGCGAATGAGTTTGGCCGATGGTAAGAGAGGAGGAGAGCTGCTGTGAAGTGTTAAACAGGAGAGGGCTTGGGAGGCTGTGTGCTCCCTCTGGCTGCAGTGTGAAGAGAGAACTAGAGGCGGCAGTGCAGTGGGAGTGGGGCTGTTGCAGAGATCCCAGTCAAAGGTGGGTTCCTGGGCTACGCTGTGGCAGCCAAGGTAGCAGGAGTCTGTGGGTCCAAGGTAGCTGGCAAGACAGGCAACCACGTTGGCTCTACAGAGTGAGAGCAAGGGGGGCGGTGAGGCCATTTCTCAGGGCGCTGCCTCTAACAGCTGGGAGCAGGAAGGGCTGCCGGTGAGGAGGAGGAGCAGATGTGTGATTCAGATGAGTTCCGATCGGAGCTTCTAGAGGAGGCACCAGCAGCTCCCCTGAGGTGGCTCTGGCTGCAGAGGGAAGTTGGGGAGGAGTCCCGCACCGAGCCAGCCGCCGAAGCCCTGGGAGAGCTCACCCAAGGGAAGGGCGTGGAGGTTGTGGCGCCCGTTTTCTGGGAAATAGCAGTTGCTCCTCCTGCAAGAATCGGTCCTAATGTGGACAACCAGCAGCAGCCAGTGGGAGCCCTTTTTGGAGAGAGGGTCCTGGGAGGAGAGATGAGTAGAATTCAGTCCGTGAAATGACCACTCGTCTTGGGAAGTGCCACAGCCCCACGGTAGACTGGGGGCCAGGCAGATACTCCAGGAGCAGCCAGTGGCTTCTTCTGCCCAGTGCCCAATGCCCATGTCCCTGGGTCCTCTTGGGTGGCTGATAATGGCAGTGAAGGTGTAGGGTTGGCCACTAGAGGGAGGGCTCCTGGAAGCAAAGTCAGGAGTGTCCCCAGGTTGGGTTAGTGGGAGCCGGAGAGAGAGCTACAGACCCAGGACAGGTCATTGTGGCCCAGGATGGCAGCTGAGAGACTGCAGACCCCCAGTCACAGAGGCGACCCCCCGAGGGGCAGTCCCTGACCGCCGCACCCCATCCTACCAGATGGTGGCCGATATGAGGGAGAAGCGCTATGCGCAGGAGGGCATCGGCAGCAGCTACCTGTTCCGGGTGGACCACGACACCATCATCGATGCTACCAAGTGTGGCAACCTGGCGAGGTTCATCAACCACTGCTGCACGGTGCGCTGGGGCCTGGCCAGGGCGGTGGGGTCCAAGCAGAGGGCACCCAGCTCACTCTGCTCCCTCCTGCAGCCCAACTGCTATGCCAAGGTGATCACCATCGAGTCCCAGAAGAAGATCGTGATTTACTCCAAGCAGCCCATCGGCGTGGACGAGGAGATCACCTACGACTACAAGTTTCCGCTGGAGGACAACAAGATCCCGTGTCTGTGCGGCACCGAGAGCTGCCGGGGCTCCCTCAACTGAGGTGGGCAGACGGGCGCCCACCCCCCCTATTTATTCCCCTTGGTGCCCTGAGCTCCCAGCACCCCAGCCTTAGTGGGCTCAGGAGGGCCCACATGCCCCCATCTCTGAATATGGAGTTGGGCCCCTGAGCCCTGCAAGGGAGCCTCAGTCCCTTAAGGCAGTGTCTGCCTCCCCTGTCACCCCTGCCGCCCACCCCCTAATTTTTTTCTTTGCGGAGAAGAAGCTGTAAATGTTCTGTAGCTGCCAGAGCTGTTTCCTGTGGAAACCTGGGGTGCCAGCCTGTACAGATCCTGTTCTCGGGGCTGCACAGCCCTCTTGCTTTGTGTTAATGGGGACTTCCCTTCTGTGCCCTGCGTGCACCCCTCCCCAGTTCAGGGGTCTCTAGGGGCAGTGGCCATGTTCTCCCCCTGGGGAGGGGGGCCCTGTGCCTCCCAGTCCTGGGGACTCCGTGCCTGGAACCCTGCCTCATCTTCTGTTCCTGCCAGACCCTGTGGGTCACCCTTCTACCCTGGTGTCTAAGCTCTGGTTGGGCCAGGCCAGGATGGCGGGGGGAGCGGGCCGGTCCTGTTGGGCTGGATTGTACATATGTTAATAGCAAAGACCCAATGCCACATTTTTATAATTGTGATTAAACTTTATTGTACAAAAAGTGCTTGGTCAGTATCTTTGGGAGAGTAGGGTGGGATGGGGGTTGAGGACAGGGTGGGGCAAGTGAAGAGGGAGAAATGGGTGGCCTGGGGTTGGGGTGGGTAGAGGGGCTATGGGGCAAGAACCCAGACCCGCAGACAGCCACCATTGCTCTGGGCCACCTGATAGGCTGGCACAGCCCCTAGAAATCCCCCAGCAAGGCCAGCCAGACCTGGCCAAGGTCAGGCCTCCCTTCCCAGAACCACAGCTGCTGCTGGGCTGGCCTCCTGGGAAATCCAGTATGAGGCAAGGACTGACACCATGCAGGAGTGAGGTCACTCTGCCTATTCCATCCCTTCCCCCAAGCCCCTCAGTGCCCATCCAGCAGGTTTTGGCTTTCCCGACCCTCTTCCCCAAGTTCTTGGCTGGAACCGGATGCCAGTGGAGCGCAGTGGCCACCAGGGGGGGCCCTGTGGCAAGAGAGTAGGAGAGGAGGGGTGGAGGCTGGGCTGGTCTGTTCCTGGAATGGCCAGGAGGGAGGAGCAAGCGGAAGGGGACAACCATTTATCGCTGGCCGGAAACGAGAGAAGACCAGCTCTGGTGGCTAGTTTGGGCACCCTGGGACTGTGGCTGCAGGTAGGCAGAGCTGATGTCCGAGGTCCCCTTCCCTAGCCCCAGCCCTGCCCACCTTCCTCTCCTCTTCCTCCTTCCCTCCCTCCCTCCCCCACTGTTTTTATCCCAGAACCTCCCCTCCACCTCAAACACTGAGTCCTTCCTGCAAGCCCTCACCATATCTCAGTAACCAGTTAGCAGGGTCAGAGGGCAGGTGGCCTGACTGCTCACCCACTAGGAACAGTTGTGGCCCCCGGTCACTGCTCCAGTCCACTAGGCTAGAGGCCCCTTCAAGGAATAACCAGTGGGCTGCTGGTGCGGGGGCAGGTCTCACACGGCAGGCAGCTCAGGTGAACCGGGGTCTCTCCTTAGGACATGGCAGACTCGGCACAGGCCCAGAAGCTGGTATACCTGGTCACAGGTGGCTGTGGCTTCCTGGGGGAGCATGTGGTCCGAATGCTGCTGCAGCAGGAACCCCGGCTCCGTGAGCTGCGGATCTTTGACCTGCACCTGGGTCCCTGGCTGGAGGAGCTGAAGACAGGTGATGGTGGAGGGGCGCTGGGGGGAGGGTGTGGACTCCCTTCGCTGTGGTGGAAAGGGTGATGCCTGTTTGTGTTCTCCAGTGCGCAGGAATGGGGTGAGTGAGTCACACTGGAAACATGTGGCTCCCAGGGGTGTGGGCTGAACCAAACAGCTGATGTGGGCTCAGCTCTGACGTTGCCTCTGGCTGCTCTCCCCCTACCAGGGCCAGTGCAGGTGACTGCCATCCAGGGGGATGTGACCCAGGCCCACGAGGTGGCAGCGGCTGTGGCTGGAGCCCATGTGGTCATCCACACAGCCGGGCTGGTGGACGTGTTTGGGAAGGCCAGTCCTGAGACCATCCATGAGGTCAACGTGCAGGGTGAGATCTCCCCCCGCCGTTCTAATAATGCACGTAATACGGGCCCATGGCCTGATCGTAACTGTGTGTCCCTCCCCCCGCTCTGACCTTGACCTCTGTGATTCTCCTGCGTCAAACAGTCCTGTGTGCACTCCTGTCCCTGTGATAGAAGGCCAGCCCTCGCCAACCTGTGTGGCTTTCCTGGGCCCGGGGAAGGAAGCCACACGCCTTCGTCCAGATTGGGGATGGGAAGGGGAAAGGTACAGGGAGGGAGGAAGCTTCAGTTTGGACACACACCCCGCCTCCCCAGGCACGAAGAATGTGATTGAGGCTTGTGTGCAGACTGGAACACAGTTCCTGGTGTACACGAGCAGCATGGAAGTTGTGGGGCCCAACATCAAAGGCCACCCTTTCTACAGGTGAGCTGGGGTCCCCCCCAATACCTTCAGAGCCCATCTCCCCTCAGCATTAAGAGTCTTCTCCCCCCCACTAGGGGCAATGAGGACACCCCCTACGAAGCTGTGCACAGACATCCCTATCCTTCCAGCAAGGCCCGAGCGGAGCAGCTGGTCCTGGCAGCCAATGGGAGGAAGGTGAGGGGAGGAGCTGCAGAGCCACGGCCGGCTGGGCCCCTCCCTGCTATTTCCAGCTTGAGGAGGGCAGGCCGCTGGGTCCTAGGTCTCAGCAGTGCCTACCTTTGGTTGCCAGGTCCGTGGGGGGCTGCCCTTGGTGACATGTGCTCTGCGTCCCACCGGCATCTATGGTGAAGGCCACCAGATCCTGAGGGACATCTATCACCAGGGCCTGCGCCTGGGAGGCCGGCTCTTCCGGGCCATCCCAGCCTCTGTGGAGCACGGACGGGTCTATGTGGGTGAGGCCCGGGCCAGGCAGGGGGGAAGCTAAGAACCTGCATGGTTCTGGGAGGGGTGCCGTGTGTACCCTGCAGAGAAAAGAACAGCCTGTACATGGGCCAGGGTGGACGGGGAGGTGTGGCCACAGGGAAACAGTATCCTTGCAAGTTGGGAAGGCAGACACAACAGTCATAGGCGGAGGGAGAGGCGGGGGCAGCATCTACATGGGCCCAAAGAGGAGGTGGCTGGTGTGTGGGCTGGCCCGGGACAGCAGCAGCTACACGATCACAGGACACTCAGGGGCATGCCCTCCCCTCTCCCTCTGGCAGGCAACGTGGCCTGGATGCATGTGCTGGTGGCGCGGGAGCTACAGCAGCGACCGGCATTGATGGGTGGCCAGGTGTACTTCTGCTATGACAAGTCACCCTATAAGAGCTACGAGGACTTCAATATGGAGTTCCTGGGCCCCTGTGGACTACAGCTGGTGGGCACCCGCCCGCTGTTGCCCTACTGGCTACTGATGCTTCTGGCTGCCCTCAATGCCCTGCTGCAGTGGCTGCTGCGGCCGCTTCTGCTCTATGCGCCCCTGCTCAACCCGTACACCTTGGCTATGGCCAACACCACCTTCACCGTCAGCACTAACAAGGCTCAACGCCATTTTGGCTACGAGCCCCTGTTCTCCTGGGAGGAGAGCCGGACCCGCACCATCCGCTGGATGCAGGCCATGGACAGTGCGGCCCAGTGACAGTGGAGCTGGGCCGGAGCTCAGCGTAGCACATCCATCCAGGCCCCGATGGAGCGGGAAGGCTGCACTCTAGGGCTGGCGGGTCCGGAGCCAGACCGGCTGTCCTGGAGCCCCCATGCTAAGCCATGAGCACTGCGTCCGTGTCCTGCTGCCTCTCAGTTCTAGGGCAGGATGTCTTCGCTCGCACCCCAGGCCTGCTGTCTGGTTGGCGAGGTTCTGATTCCCTGATGTTCTCCCTGCATCCCGTTGGCTTTTCCAGCGGGAAGTGAGTACAAGTTCCACCGGCCTCCTGCCGCCCAAGCAGGACCCTCGGGCCTGGGCTCAGAACGAAGAGTCTTTCTGGCTCCTCCCACCACCTCTGTCCCTCCGGGAGGGTCATAGCCCCATTATTGTAAAACATGTATCACCTTAAGGTGGTTATCTTTTCATTCTCCTCAGTGAAAGCTGAGGAAATCTATATTTTCACTTCTTCCCACCCCGGTACCCAAATGTAGGCCCTGCAATATTGTGAGGTCTCTGCCTGAGGTTGCCCCAGAAACTCTGTGCCTGCCCATGCCCTGGATTAAAACTCCTTTATCTACATCCGTGTCCAGTGCCTGCCCAGCTCCCTGGCCTGCCTCCCCGTGCCGCCCCTCCCCGCGGCGCCCGTCCCATTGGGGACAGAAGGAAGTGAGCACGCAGCACGCCCGCTGTTGGATTGGTTGCTATTTCTCCCGTTCCACGGGGCCCAACCCGGCCCAGGGTGGGGGTAGGGGGCTCTGGGGACAGGACATGCAGGGCTGGGGAGAGGGCAGAATTTTCCTGTGTTTGATCCATTTGCAACTTGGTCACCAATAGAGAGAAATGGGTCTCTGAGGGCGAACAGGAGAGGGCGGCCTGGCTCTGGGCCCCCAGCCAGGCCCCTAGAGTCCTGTCCCCTCTGGAGAGGCGAGGGAAAGTGCTCTAGAAACCAAAGGAGAAACAGAGGGGGCGGGCTCATGTCAGCAAACACAGCTACATCACGTGACACGCCAGCGACACGGAAACACACGCCAACGCACACGGCTGCACAGCGGGCAGGGGGCAGGTGGGGTGGAAGGGAGCCGGGGGCCACCATCTTGTCCTTTGCGGGGCAGGCTGGGGGGCAGGGTGAATGCATAGAACACATCATGTACACACGCTCAAGGCGTGGCATGAGCGTGCATCGACCCACAGGCACATGGGATGGACACGCGCAGTGTGCTTTGTGAGAGGCAGAGCTAGGGCGAAAGGGGGAAGGGAAAGGGAAGCGGTGAGCCCTGGCCAGGCCCGGGACCACCCACGGGCACACATGGTTGTAGGTGTGGAGGGTGGGCAGCACACACGCCTCCAAGACCACGTAAAAGACATCCCCCCAGACAACACTCCAGAACACACGGGACACAGCAGCCAACACGCAGACACATCATGTGAGGCTGGGACTTGTGGAGGCTGGGGCACAGCAGACCTCGGGGTCCTCCGGTCTGACGCTGGGATGGGCAGCTGTGGGCCTAACACACTCGAGGAGGCAGCTGACAGGCTCCAGCCCTGGCTCCAGCCTCCTGGCGGCCCCAGGCTGTGGGAGTGCGGGGAAACGGGAAACACCTGGGCGGAAGGGTGTGCTGGCCAGGCAACCGGAAGGAAAGGGGGAGGCGGGGGAGTGCTAGGGTCCTCTCTGACATCCCCAAAGAAGGGAAAAGGGAGCGGGAGGGCTGCCGGCAGACACAGGGCCACTTCCTGTCCTGCAGAAGGGCATTCTGGGAATGCAGTCAGGCGCCCCTCTTCAGGACAGCACAGCTCGGGGTTTACACCGATTGGCCACACACAAGCAGAGCCCAAACAGCCAGGCAGGGAAGGGCTGGCATGGGGGTCGGAGGGTATGTGTCCCAGGTCACATCTGCATTGTCTCACACACACACACACACACACACACACACACACACACACGCTTCACATAAAGTGGAATCCTGGGAAATGATCTGCACACAGCCCTGAGTCCTTTGTCCTGTGCACATGGATGCCCACCCCGAGGGCAGGGCACATCCTGTCCTTGTGTGTTCAGTCCTGTATTTGTGGGTCCGTGTTCCTCAGCCACGGAGTGCGGGGGCTTCTGACATTGTCCTGGCTCATGCACCTCCCACCAGCCACCAAACGCACGAGCCCATGAGCATGTGTCGCCTACACAAGGGAGGAGCAGGCCCTCTCCGCACCATCAGAAACCCGGGCCTGTGCCCACCCTCAGTCTCACCCTGGCTGGGGAGCAGCGATGGCAGACATTTCAGCAAAGGTGTCCGGGGATGGATCCCGGGACTTAGCCCATCCCGAGTGGCTGCTGCCACACTGGCCACTCCAGTGCACCTGCGACAAACAGCTCCCCAAACCAAGGCCCCTGAGACGAAGCCCAGAGCATCAAACGGGGCGAGGGAGACCCATATTCTGAGATAAGTGTGCGGAAGGCAGGGATGCGCTCATTCCCTAGCTGTCTGGGGTGACTCTCCACACTGGCCTTGTCACTGATGTCCTCACGCTGTCCCTTCAGGAGGCATACATGTGCAAATGGGCGCCATGCCCATGGTAGCATGCACGTGTGCTCCAGTGTGGTGCTGTGTGCCTGGGTGTGGTCACCTCCACGAGGCCTCCTGAGCCTGGGCATGAGTGAGCACACGTGTCCCAGCCCTCACGGGTGCAGGCCTGTCCTCTGGCCGGGACACAGAGGAAGAGAAGCGCCCGGCTGTGTGTCAGGGGCTCTGGCGCCTGGCAGGGCAGGATGTGCCAGTTGCACAACGTTGATGTTGCAGCGTGTGGCCATGACCAGATGCTGGCAGCAGCTCCGGGGAGAGAGGGAGGGGTAAATCAATGTTCATAGACAAGCCTGGATGGGGCGCGAGACCTTAAAGAGAAGCGTGTGCGCATATATAAACGGGACAAACACCGTGGAGCAAGCCTCCGTGCCAGTGCACACACACACGCTCACACGGACCGTCCAAACAGCGTCCTGTGCCCGCCCAGCTGTGTCCGGGGGCAGCACAGATGCTCTGTCTGGGGAGACCTGCCAGCACTTCAGGCAGATCCTGAGACACACACAGTTCTCGCATCACCTGCTGGGAAATGCACATGTATATACAAGCCAAGCGAGGTTATTTATACGTGTACGCTTCCACTCATGTTGGCTCAACTCCAAGGCTCACAACACACACACACACACACACACACACACACACACACACACTCACACTTTCCCACGGGACCCAGGCCTGGGGTGACTAAACCAGGAAGATTTGCTCCACATCTCAGTGGGGCTCCTGCCATGGCCCGTGAACTTGGGCCTACCTGGATCCTCTGGGAAGGACCATCTGCACACGCACAACCTGCCCGTTTATAGCAGGTGTGGGGGCGGGGGTGTCAGTGGAAGAAGTACTATTGCATTAGATTCAAACACTCCAACACAAAATTCCATGTACACAAATTCTGTGTCCACAGATCTGTGGACACACACACCTATTCACAGAAGACAGAGCAGGGCTTGGTGGCTGCTGTGTGATCCCGGCCACGTCTACACAACAACCGAGCGAAGGGGAACGCTAAGACGACACACAGACAAGGTGGGGGCAAGAAGGGTGCTGTGGTGCTTCTACACACACCTGTGAACGCACACACACAGGCTGGGGTGTCCACTCGTCTCGAGCACGTGCCGGCGGCATGCATGTTGGTGTGCATGTGTAATCACGCCTGCTGCTATTTATGTGGGGGGAGGGTCCATGGTGCAGTGAGGTCCAGGGACTCCAGGGTCTGATGGGGGGGTGGGGTAAGGAGAGGGCTGCCTGGGTCTGTCTTGGGGGTGAGCCTGGAGCAGGGGATGGAGTGAAAGGGGTCGTGGGGGTATTGCTCCCAATGTGGTGGGGGAAGGGTCTGGGGGAGGTAGGGGTGGTGGGCCTACAAGCCCAGCGTCCCCCCAATGGATGACGCCAAGACCACCCCCAGCACCACACAGCAAATGATGATCATGATTTTCTTCTGCAGGCAGAAAGGGCAATGGGACAGGAGGAGGCGAGAGGGGCAGTTTAAGAGAAAGAGAAACAGACAGAAAGATGGGGGGAGGGTGTGAGGGAAAAGAAGAGGGGAGAGAAAACAGAAAAACCAAGAGGTCAGAGCCAGAGATATGGCCTTCCAGAGAATTTCATCACTTGCCTCAGCCCTGGCCAGAGCCCCGCCCCACCCCGCCCCCCAGCTCCAGTCCACCTGCCCACAGGCCCTGCCCGCCCCGCTCACCCTCCGGGCCTTGCTCTGATATCTCACGGCTTTCTTCGTGTCAGACACAGCTCGCTCCACGTAGTCCACGGAATGTTCCACGTTGTATTCAATTCGGTCAATCATCTCGCCCTGCAGAGGGTATGTGCATGGGGAGGCGTGGGCTGGGCTGGAAGAGGGAACCGGGGAGGGGGGCGGCTTCCACATGGGGTGGCAGGGCAGAGGCCGTACCTGGCTTTCCACGAGCATGGCCATGTCTACAAACATGTCGTGCAGCTCGCGGATGCTGGTTTCCAGTTTGATGATCTCGTTGTGCCTCGTCTCGATCTCATTCAGCGCCTGCTTCGTCATCTGGGAGTCCATTTTGATCTGGGGGGAGGGTGGGGGGGAGCGAATGCTGAAGACCACCCTTCACTCCCGTAACAGCCCAGAGCCTGCAGCCAGAGCACTGGGTCCAACCCGAGCTGTCATTCACTAGCTGCAACCCCGGGCAAATGATCTAACCTCCCCGGGCCTCAGTTTCCCCACCTAGAAAACGTGGATAACAATCGTGCCCACCTCATGGTCGCTGTGAAGATGAGAGGAGTAATATGTGTACATTGGTAAGAACAGTGCCTGGCATACAGGAAGCACTGAAGACAAGTTTGTTAAATTACAAGAACTAACACTTGCCCCCAGCCCTCCCCCTTAGCCCCGGGCCGCCTCTATCACACACACCACAGACGCTCTGGGAAGGGAGACAGAGGTCCAAGACCCCACCAGTATCCGGGCCCCTGTCTGGTCAAAGGAAGATAGAGAAATGGAAGAAGACACAGAAGAAAGGGGTGGGGGAGAGGGGAGAATAGCAAGCAGAGGAGGCCCAGGGGAGAAGGCAGGGTGCCCACAAGCCCCTGGAGACTATGACATGAGAAGGGGAGACACAATGAAGGGGTGCACTGGCGCTTCAAGAGTCGGTGGAAGAGAGACTCCAACCCACAGACGCCCGGCCTGAGCCAGGCCGCCCCCTTCTCAGAGATTCACTGTTTAGACCACATCGAGCCTCTCCTCTGCTCTGAAACCTGCCAGGCTCCCTATCCATAGGGTCCTCACCTGTATCTTTTTAAAAAACATTTTTTTATTGATTTCAGAGAGGAAGGGAAAGGGACAGAGAGATAGGGACATCAATGATGAGAGAGAATCATTGATCGGCTGCCTCCTGCACACCTCCTACTGGGGATCAAGCCTGAAACCGGGGCATGTGCCCTTGACTGGAATCGAACCCAGGACCCTTCAGTCTGCAGGCCGAGGCTCTATCCACTGAGCCAAACCAGCTAGAGCCACACCTTTCTCTTAGCAGTCAAGGCCCCGGCTCCTTTTCTACCCTCATCTCCTGCTATCCAACAGGAGCCAGAATCATCCAATGGCTGTTTGGCAAGTGGTCCACTCTCCCTGACTTTGTCCAGTCTGTTCCTCAACCATAAAATTTTCGTTGCTACTTCATAACTGTAATTTTGCTACTGTTATGAATAAAATATAAATATCTGATATGCAGGATGTATTTTCATTGTTACAAATTGAACGTAATTAAAGCACAGTGATTAATCACAAAAGCAATATGTAATTATATATGTGTTTTCCGATGCCTTAGGCGACCCCTGTGAAAAGGTCGTTCGACCCCCAAAGGGGTCGCGACACAGGTTGGAGACCCACAGGTTGAGAACCGCTGGTCTAGAGTATCCTTTGCCCCCTGTCCAAAAGCTCCTTGTCTCTTAAGGCTCAGCTCAATGCCACTTCCCAGGAAGCCTTCCCTGGCTGTAGAAGTCAGCTATCATAGCGCCTGTCTGCATCTTGCACAGCCCTCAAGGAGACGTCAACCTCCCTGCACTGGCTGGTTAACTGGCAGGGCTCAGCTCTGCCTTCTTAGGACCACTCACCAGCTTCCCTCCGTCCTCAGACAGACAGACAGCCTAGCAGAGCTGTCTGAGAGCTCCAGGCTAGTTGCCCACAATCTATTTGCTTGAAGCTAATTTAACAAAGGCCAGTTATCTAAGGAACAAAATGCTAGAAAGTCCCTGAACATACTTTAATCTGGTCTAGGGGCCTTACATAGAGCCATTCCACCACCAGAAGCATAAATAGACAGAACTGGCAGGCCAGGGTAAAATCCAAAAGAGAAAGAAGAACTACAGCTGGGGGAAGCCCATCCATTCACATACAAGATGACAAGGGCAGGACGGTGTGCAAAACTAAAACAGGGTTTTTTAGAAATTTTCAAAAGGCAGGCACATTAGTCATTGGGTGAAAGAGCCTGCGAGTAGGGCGTTCTGCATCTTAGCACCGAAGAGTCCGCTCTGCGCTTCCACCGTGGATTCCAATACTGGCTCTGCCCCCAGCTGTGTGACCTCACCTAGTTACTTAACCTCTTGGGCACCATTTCCTCCCCCGTGAAATGTGGCTCCCTCAGAGGGCTGTGGTGAGGACCGAATGAGGTTAGTAGGTAAATGTGAATGTGTAAAGTGCTTAAAACAGCGCCTGGCGCACTACTGTTTGCCGTTTTATGGGGGTGCCTTCCTGCTCTGCTCCCATGGGATTCCCCAGCTCCAGACCCAGGCCTTGCGATGCCAGCTATTCCAGGTGGACTTAGGCCCTTCAGTCTAACCTACGTTTGGGGAGGAGGTGCAACTGCTTTACAGAACAGACCCACCCCCGCCCGCGCTCACATCGTCAGTGAAGATGGCCAACTTCCCGCTCTCCAGCATGTCTTCCAGCTCTTCGTTGGTTGTGGTCCTTCCGGCTGTGGGGAGGAAGGACTCCATGCTCAGGGCCTGGGCCAGCCTGCGCTGAGGCGGTGGGATGGGGCAGGGACCGGGGACACCACCCTTCCCTGGGGCCCTGGGCCAGGCGCCCCTCCACCGAGAGGAAGGGCCTGGAAGGAGGCTTGGGCAGGCCTGGGGAGTCTGGAGGGGAGGCGCACGCACTGATCTCCAGCTGCCGCTGGATCCTGTCCTTGCAGCGGTCCCTGTACTTGGACTGGGTCGCGTTATATTCGGTCATTACTTCCACGAACTTCCGGGAGAGTGTAGAATGCTGGAGTGGGGGTACACACATCAGGAGGCAGGGAGCAGAGACCAAGGGGGAGCCGTTAGTGCACAGGTGGAGTGGAGAGGAGGGGTGATCACGCCCCACCCCAATCCCTCACCAGAGCACAGTCCCCTGCCGCTTGTCTCCCTATCTTACACCCAAACCAGGGGGCAGGGCATTTTAGGATGTGACCCGAACCCGCGCTCGGCTGTAGCCCCGCCCTCCGCTGTAGCCCCGCCCTCCGCCTTAGCCCCGCCCCCACCAGCATGA